TGTTTTATAATTGGCCTCAAAAGGAGATGGCTAAGAGAAAGTACCAAAAAATATTCATCTTTCATTAAATTCCTGAGCTGCTGTTATATCCCATAATTCTTCATGCCTCCAAGAGCATTTAGTTCTATTCAACAACCACTCTCTTTTGCCTTCCTGAAAGTAAATCTTGCTTGAGTGGTTGATTATTATCTTAGCAGGTGCCTTACTAATCTTCCTGTGAATAGGCTTACATCTTAGCCTGCATAGCAGAGCTGTAGTCAAGGGGGAAAAAAAACCACATACAGATATTAGAACAACAGCCATCTTGTATGCCACCTTGTAGATATTTTCTTTTGTCTCTTAATTGAAAAAGGTCTTTTAATATTTGTTCTAGTCTGACCTTGTCAACAGTTTTAAAGCTATACTTTAAAGTCAGTATAAATTAGATTATCACCCACTCATGTATTGAATTTAAAGAAGAAAAATCTAGCCAGGTTGTCTTCACCATACTGTTAGTTTGCCTAGAGTTATCCCATATTTCCAATCTAATCAGCAAATTATACGTCACAATAATGCTACATGCTCCTCTTTCTGAGTATATGAATGACTTAATTTGTCTTTACTTGTAATATTCTGTTTAATATTATTCAGTTTTATCTCCATGTTTTCAATCAGAATAGTAGATCTAGTTTCATATTCAAAATGACTATAGTTGCATAAGTATCAGATTTGTCATTCAGTATTTCTCAAAAGGCATGTGCAGATGTGTTTTTGGCAGTTGATTTCAGCAGGGTAAAAAAAATTCTTTCCTAAACAGCTGCAATTATAAGTGTAGTTAAGTGAAATAGTTAAAGATACAGTCAGAGTTCCAATGGGGAAAAAAACTCTGGGACTTCATTCTTTCTTTCTGCCACTTGCAGTGACAGAATGGCCAGGTTTTCAAAAGAGCTAAGGACACTACTTCTCTCCCGTTTCAAAAATCTGGCAATTACTAAGGTGCCTAAATGGAAGCAAAACTTTCTTAAAAATCTGATCACTTATGTCGGTGCCTGTTAGAAAAATAGGGTGCTGAATTCTTGATAATTATGCCTGAAATCAAACTAAATAGTAAAGAGAAAACAGTAAAGTGAAAGTTGTTTTGAAAATGAAGTCCTTCAGAAAGACTGCAGCTAAAAGAGATTTTCTCCCTGGGTCTTTTTTTAGGAAAACTTAAAAACTAGTGAACACAAACTGCCTCAGTTCAGTACTGTAAGGACTCTCATGTGCAACATACAGAGGCAGTAGATAAAGATAAGGTAATGCACTCACCTGTGAATAAGAGTAGCTGTTGCTTTGTGCTGGACAGAATTGGAACTTTAAACTATGCACCACTACTAGAGCTGTGTGAAGCTTTGGTAGCTGATTGAATTCAGAGAAGATTCAGCCTGATTCGGGGACTGAATCCGAATTGAATCGGGAGAACAAGTAAAAGCTCCTAACTGATTTGAAGCATATGAATCAATTCAGAAAAGGTTCAGCCAATTCAGAGATTTGGCCATTGACTAAACAGGCAGCTGACAGCTGCCTCCAGCTGGTAAGTCTGTTGGGGTTGGGGGAGGGAAGGGGTGTTGGGGAGGGAGGAATTAGAGCTAGGGCTGGAACAAGCTGCCCAGCTGGGGCGGGGGGAGCGTTACTTGGGGAGGGGGGTGCAGGATGTGGGTGCAGCAGTGCTGGGAGCGGAGGCTCTGCCCTGCTGCCGCTTTCCCAGCTGGGACATCGCTCACTCCACGCAAAGGGGGGCAAGCGGCAGCAGGGCATAGTCCCCACACCCCGTGCTG